GCAGGGGAAGGGGAAGGGGGGCGTCATGCACCTGGGCGCTGGCCGGGTGCCGTCTGGGCCCTCCAAGGGGTACTTGGTCCCCCCAGGAGAACTTCTGGTTTTGCCGCCAGTGTTTTTGGGCTCAGCGATCAGCTGCCAGGGGACCCTCCCTCCCCCCTGCTCAGCGATTGGCCGTGGACGGGAGGGGCACAAATGCAAGTATTGGCCCCTGAGCACTGGAGACCCATGGTACGTCACTGTAACAAGGGCACACTGTTGGCTTATATTCAGCTTATTGTCCACTGTAACCCCCAGGTGCTTTTCTGCAGAGCTGCTGTCCAGCCAGTCAGCCCCCAGCCTGTACTGGTGCATGGGATTGTTCTGTCCTAAATGCAGGACTTTGCACTTGTCCCTCCTCATGAGATTCCTTTTGGCCCAATTCTCCAATTTGTCTAAGTCACTCTGAATCCTAGCCATATCCTCCAGCAGATCTACTATTGCCCCCAGTTTGGTGTCATCTGCAAACTTGCTGTGGGTGCCCTCTATGCCATCTTCCAGGTCATTGATGAACACACTGAACAAAACCAGACCCAGGACCAACCCCTGGGACACACCACTTGATGCTGGCTGCCAACTAGACATCAAGCCATTGATTACAACCCCCTAAGCCCAATGATCCAGCCAGTTTTCTATCCACCTTACTGTCCATTCATCCAGCCCATACTTTCTTAGCTTGCCTGTGAGAATGTTATGGGAACCTGTATCAAAAGCGTTGTTAAAATCAAAAGGTATACCATATCCACCAATCTCCCTGCATCCACAGAGCCAGTCATTTCATCACAGAAGACAATCAGGTTGGGTCAGGGCCCTTGGTGAATCTATGCTGACTGTTCCTAATCTTCTCTTCTCCTCCAAGTGCTTTGGAATTGATTCCTTGAGGATCTGATCCATGATTTTTCCAGGGACTGAGGTAAGGCTGACTGGTTTGTAATTCCCTGGATCCATTTTTTCCCCTTTCTTAAATATGGGCACTATGTTTGCCCTTTTCCAATCATCCAGGATCTCTCCTGATAGCTATGAGTTTGCAAAGATGATGGCCAGTGGCTCTGCAATCTTATCACCCAACTCCCTCAGCACCCTCATCTGGCCCTGTGGACTTGTATATGTCCAGCTTATCTAAATAGTCCCTGGCTCACCTCCTCCCCAAACTGGTGCAGTAGCCTTGGAACTGACCTTGCCTGTGAAAACTCAGGTGAAAAAAGCATTGAGCACTTGAGCCTTTTCTGCATCCTCTGTCACAAGGTTGCCTCCCCCATTCAGTAAGGAACCCACACTTTCCCTAATCCTTCCTGGGCTGCTGCTACTGGTACTGCTATACCAGCTTCCACTATAGCAACCCTGGGGCTGGTGTCTTGCTTTCCCCCTCCTACTAACTAAACTATCTATGCATTACAGCATAGTTCAATCTACAGACCTAGATTTTGCCATGCTAACCAAACAATGCCAATTCTGGATTATGTGATATAGACACTTCTTCAGTGGAAACTGTACTGAGATACCCAAATGTTTATAGGCCATTCAGTGGCCAATGAGTGATCATTTTTGGCTATAAATAACTTTATAAGTAAAATGAGCTACATTCTGGCCCCCATTTTCAATCTGTGCATAAGCACATACGTAAAAATGATAATTGGGGCCTAAGCTAATGTTGTATGTGTTCTGAAAATCTTCTCTGGCACATCTGTCTTGGCTGGCATACCTGACAGAATAGAATAAAAATGACTTCCTAATTCTATTGCATTCTAAAAGCCGCTGAGTAGCAGAAGACAAATAATTTGCCTACCCAGCTTGCTCCTGTTCCAAATTCCCCTCCAGCTCAGGCAGTTGTACCCCACACTGCTCTTCATGAAGAATGTACATAGCTAATTATGTATGCTTTCTTCCTTGAATTGTATTATTAGGCACAACTGCTATTCAGGGGTGCTTGCAAGGGAACTGAAGTCTGAAGCCAGCTTTCAGTTTCAGTCTCACATCAGACACGCTGCTCAGCAAAGACATCCAAGATTTAAGTGCAGGTCAGCAGTGGGAAACAATTACATTTCACTTCTCCAGACTGAGCTTTGTTGTCCCAACTTGCTGAACAGAAACATTTTTCTTAAAACAAGCCATTATGCTAGTTTCCCTTCCAAACCTTTTGATAACTGCCAAGCACGGTTGAAAAACCTTCCTAAGGTTAACATGAAATCTCTTTTGTACAGTACTGATAACAGATTCCAAACAGATTTTAAAACTCCAGCAATCTAAAAAGATGATAGGCCAGTTACAGGTGCTTAATATGTAGACAACATTAAAGTGAAGAAGGACATAGGAACTATACTTATTCTCAGGAAGTATCAAATAGTAGGACCCACATTTTGAAGAACTCATAGGATTCCAGAATATCTGGTCTTGTCAGTTCATTCTAGAATAGTCAACTGCGGGCTATACAGAAAATGCAGTTTGCAGGCATGAGTGCGCACATGTGTGTAGTTACTGTTATAGCCAAATAATTCATTGCACTCGACAGTCAGTCTAACTGCTTTGAACTCCAACAACAATAGCCAAAAACCTGAGAAAGAAGTCATACTAGTGAATGTCTTCATGACCTGCTTATGCTGAAAGTTGTATGCTAAACAAAGCCCAGTTATAAAGCAGGTAGGCACTGTCTTGAACAGATCCTGCACATTTACACAGAAATACATCTTCTCTCTATACACTACTTCCACTCTCTAGTATAGAAAAACTACTAGAACTCAAACTAGTTGATTGTATTAAAGAATCTATGGGAACCTTACCCCCTCACACCCTCCGTTCAGGTACAGCCAAATATATCAAACACATAACAGCAGAACCAAAGCCTATCAGCTTTCAAAGCAAATCCAACGCAGACAAAAAGAAACAGCTCCCCAGCTATTAACATGCTCTTCCCCTCACAAAGTTTGATCCTGCACCATTAAAGTTGATGGAAGTTTTCTAACTAATGTTTAAGAGGGAGAAGAAAGTGTGATGAGGCTGTGGATAGGAGAAATGAGGATGCCCTGAGAGAAGACACATAGTAACCTCTATTAGCCAGTTCACCCAGAATAACCACCCTAGAAGAAATAATAATTATCCTGTTTCCTTGGCTACTCCGTAAAGCTGTTAGCTACCAATGGGCGGCTTTGAAGGCAAAAAAAGGAGCAATGGAGCAGTGACTGTTTTCAGGAGAAATTTGTATAAATGTAATCTGCCTCCTGCTTTGACTTGGAAAAGTTCTGACTAAACAACTGCACTTGTGCAGTTTTCTTTTAAGAGTCGGTGTTGCGTTACTTGTTTAAAACATGTTGTCTCTGACAAAAAGCCTGTCCCGTAAAGGTATTTACCTACCACACGCAGTGCAGATGTTTCAAGACAATGCATCTACAGATGAGAAGAAATATATTAGGGGGGCAAAAAGCCTCATACACAGAAGAATAAACAAGGGAAGCTGCATACAAGAAAGTAGTTGTGCAGGAAAACAGAGGATGCAAATTATAAAACACAGGATTATAAGGGAGAAACGTTTCTGTCCGAAAAGGCTGTGCTCCGACTTGGCACTTTCTTCAAAAGAAGGGAGTAAAACACAAACCCACCGTCACAAGCCAGACTCAACCTGGCCACTCGAGCCCGTGTTCGGAGAGATTGGGTCCACAAGGTTTCCACAAATCGGGGCACTCCCAAAGAGCAGAGGAATGGCACAGACTTGAGTGCCCACCTCCTGGTCTAAATCTGCCCCGATCAAGGGCTAGAGCCTTTAGGGATCCGTCGGGCTGCAGCTTCCCCGGCCTTCAGGGCTCCACGGGCTGGTGACGTTCTCCATGCACCTGCAAAGATGAAGGGACTCATGGGGCGAGGGGCTGCTTGGAGGGAGGAAATGGCATCGCCAAGTTGCCAGAGCAACACCCGCACAAAAATAAACCCCGGCAGCAGAAGCAGCAGCAGCAGCATCCCTGCTCCATGATCCCAGGGGAAGCGGGCACTGACCAGGACGGAGCCAGGCGAGGTCACAAGCCCACAGGCATCCCAAGGCAACAGGGGACCCTCCAGCCTGGACTCGGCGCAATTTGTGGGGCCGAGCGGGAGGGAGCCCCGCGGAGGTTTTGCTTGAGCTCCCAGCGCAGGCGGAGAGAGGGGAAGAGCAGGTCCCCTCAGCGCGGCGCGGCGCCCTCGGGATTCCCGCGGCCACCGCCGGCCTCTTACCTGCCCCGCGGCTCCT